ACAAATTTTATTATACATAAATTTATAATAATACATATTTCCATACAAAAAAAATCTATATTATTTTTTTCAGGCAAACTCCCTATATATATATATCCTTCTATATTCTAATTTAGATAATCAATAAACCGATGTGATCATTCTTGTACATATTATATAATCTTCCATATATATTCAGAAGATTTCTAAATCTAATAAAGATATCAGATAATAATACCGCCACATTGGTGAAATATGTGATAAGCGAATTAATGTTCATAATGCTCAGTTAATCGCGCTGTGAACGATCGTATTTTAATTATTGCGCGTATACCCTTTAGGCACGTGCTCTCAAATAAATTACATTCGAGTCCATAATTTTCAATCTATCAGACGTTAATACAGATACGCTTGATTATTCATCGGAAGGAAATAGTTGAATATGCTTGCGCGTATAGTGGAACGATAGGTAACTGCATCGTTGAAGTCAAAGAGAGAGAGAGCTTTTGATATCCTGACCACTGATCGGCCTTTCAAAGAGGTATTCAACGTTTATCGTCCTTCCCCGTGATACGCGATTCACTTTAGTATTTATGACGATGTCCTCGTACATGCTAATGTGCATTCGTCGTTATCTGTCTCTAACGTTTTTACAAGATTCAATGTTGTAATATTGCAATGTCACTGTGACGGATATTAAACCGGAATATTCGCGAAAATTTCATTTTCATTAACTTAAATATACACCCGTTTATACGTAACCGTCGCTTGAACCTCATTTCAGATGAAATATTCAAAATAAAATCTCTATATAATATTTACGCATTTCATATATTAAAAAGCATAACAGGTGAAATAATGTATCAGAACAAAGTTTCACATTTTGAGAGATAGTAATTACAATTTAATAAAAGAGCAATTTTATTGTCCATATAAAATCATTATAAATAATTGTTCCTGCAAGTACAAATAAAATGAAAGATAGTAATTTACTTATCTTTTGCTTTGTCATCATCAGACTTCTTCTGCCTCTTCTTCCTCTTTCTTGCAGTTTACACTTGTACAAAGTAACATTCGCGAAAACATGATTAATCACAATTGCGTGTTCTAAATGATCAAATTAGAATAATTGCACGACATTTTATACATTCCCAACATTAATCGCACTCTCCACGTACTTTACTATTGTGCATTACGACGAAATTCCATCGAAATGTGAAAATAACATCAATAGAATATGATTTATTTTATAATATAATTGATAAACGTTAAAATACAAACTTAATTATATAATCTAGTTATTCATTAAATGTATTATAATGTTGTCTCGAAGTCAATCCAAATTATGAAAAAAAAATTTGAAAACATTCTAATTTAAAAATGACAAACAATTATGAATTTAGATAAATGAAAAATTCAAAGCGCAATGCAAAATACATTTGAATCTATAATAATTCAAGTAAAATAGTAAATTATTATATCTTCCATATAGAATATATATATAAATATTTGCTATAAATAATAACACTTATATTAAATAAAAAACTCAGAGTGCGGTACGAAATATACTTTTTTCAAAAATTTGAAAAGGAATTATAAAAACTTATATATGTATGTATACACACACACACACACACACACACACACACACACACACACACACACACACACATATAATAACTTATAATTAGATAAAATTGAAATTAGAAATTATTATTTCACAATATTCAAGATAATTATTTCCTTAGAGCTGTAATTGGATTCGAAGGTACTTGTCCCATAATGCATTTAAAATTTTTTTAAATGTAATTTTTTTTATTGTTTTATTGTTTTGATATTAACAATGCAAAATAACATTCATTAAAGTAATGAGAAGCTTGATCTTGATTATATATTAATTGAATTATAATTAAAATCAAATTAAGAGTAAAGAAAAAACGGAATATTTATTGTAGATGTATTTTATATTATCTCTTGGTTTTTGGCAGTTTTATTACACACGATGCGCGGGTCTTTAGTATCCTGAATTAATTTTTTATAAATATATAAAAATTATTAAGCAATTTTTACGTATATTTTTACACCTTTAAAAAGTTATATTTATAATAAATTGTATATAAATTGTCATATATAATTGTTATATATAATATTGTTGTATATAAATCAAAGGAACAAAATGCTCAGAACATGAATGAACCAAACATGTGTATTAAGGGTTAAAAATTGTCCAAGACTACAGCAATTTTTTTATATTTTGACATCTTTAAAAAGTTGTATATTTATAATAAATTGTATATAAATTGTCATATACAATTGTTATATATAATATTGTTGTATATAAATCGAAGGAATGAAATGCTCAGAACATGAATAACCCAAACATGTGTATTAAGGGTTAAAAATCGTCCAACGCTGCGTTTCGGTGCGACTGGTAAAGGATAGGAGTGATAGGCACACCGCGTGACGTGTTTGTTTGTTTTATTTTGTTACACTACTTACAGTGCGATCACGAGGCCGCCGGCGAGCAGAACGTTAGACATTCGCGTAATGAAACTGAAGTCAGCAAGATGTTCCACATGCTATCGCGCATTATCAAAAGGCAATCGTGCTAAGTATCACAAATCACCAAACGAACATAACTATTGGTCAGTGCAATTAATGAACTCCTATGATTAACGATCTGTGACGACAACGATTATTTATCGAAGCAAATATTTCGCGTAATTTATTCTCACGTTTGACATTAAAACGATTTCGGATAGAGAGTTAACTTATTGTTTTATAATATTTTTTCCAGTTATAGCTTTTATTTTAAAGCTTCTTAAATTTGAATACCTATATTTCAAGAGTCGCGCTTTGAAATAATTTGTTTAAAAAATAATTTGTTTAGTTTGTTTGTCTATCTTGCCTGAAAATAAATTATTTACCTTGTCTTTATATTGAAAATGCGAAATAATAATTAAATCGAGTAATTTTAAATAATGAAAATCTATAATATTTATCTCGATGTATCTCGTTAAATTTATGTTTGAAGTGTACATGCGTATGTACAATATTACTAAATTTCAATTGTATTTTTTCACACACAAACGATCTATCTCGCCTTAATTAGTCAAAACTTTGTTATCTGAATATTATATGATATTAGGATTGCCGATATTATTTTCAAATTTTTTGGTCATTAACGAAACATTGCTTGTACGAAATGGATTGATAATTAATGACTACAATCAATCACAATTGACTGCAACGACTAATGACTACAATTCAAATTAATCGTCAATATATGATCGTAATTAATTTCATATTTCATTATTTATTAACCGCGTGTAACATAAATTCGGGATTTCTATATCGGTGATCTGTCAGAAACTTCTACTATTTGAGATCTGTTCGTTGTATTAATTTGCGAAATATCAATTATAGTTTTCTTCATCCTATTCGTAATTCTTTATTATTTAGAGATATAATAGTGTCTCGCGCCAATGTATGCGCACTAAAACCGTATTTCAATATACAATAAAATACGCGTCGTTCATTTAACTTGGGAATATAAAAAATATAGTGCGATTGTGATTAATTATGATTTTGAGTGTCGTGTGAGTGGCATAAAGAAACAGGAAAGGATGAGGAAATCTGGAAAAGTGTTAAACGACAGTGGAGCAACTATAGAGTGAATACTTATATTTAAAACGAGACTGTATTTTTGGTGAACGCGAGAGCAAGATTGGCCGAAGTTATAAAGGACGAGTTTTATTTAGCGTGAGCGAAATTTTCATTT